CCCCCGATAGTTCAGATCCTGAAGCTGCTTTGTTGAAAACAAAACCAAAATACCATTCTGTGCATAGTGGTTGGAAGGAGGTGTTATGGGAAGGCTACAGTTGCTGGACAATACATGATTCTTCCAATTCACTTTCCCTTTACCTATTTTGAAAATATTTGTTTGACAGGATTCTGACGTCCCTTGTATTTTGTCAGTATTGAATTACCTATTTATATTGTTTTCCTTCCAAGATGCGCAAGTCATGTGGCGGAATAGTGGAGAAATGTTGAAAGAGTTGTACGTTTTATTGGCTACAGAAGGATTAGGTATTTTGCATATGTTCTCCTTTGCGTAAGGCTGCAAGTAAGCTAGTTCAGTGCCTCAGCTTCTTCATTCCCGTAACAAGGAATCTGATTCAGTTAATACCAAAAAATATTTCCAATTACCCCCTGTGTGTAGGCCCCATATATTGCTTTTCTCTTGCATGTTTTCACAACAGTTGGGTTGTAGAAGGCGGCTTCTAGTTTGTGAATTGATTTGGAAGAGTTTCTTCTACTTTTGAATACTGTATGGTGACCTACTTAATTGGGAGTAATTATGGTCTAAATATATTGGTTTGACATAACAAGAGGCTATCTGGGGAAAAAAAGGAAAGGGAAAGAATGGCTCAAGATAAACCACCTCTTTACAAGCACTTAAGAGTTGTTAAGGAACATCTCCAGAGCTATTAGCAGAGAAGTTTTAACTTCACTATTGTAATTTAGCTCCTGAGGATTGAAACAGAGCAGCAGAGCAAAAGAGTTGATTCAAAAAGAAGCACTTTCTCTGGGTCTATGGCTAGCACTTTGTTGGAGAAACACTTGATATATAAGTCATTGTGAAGCCCTTAGAGCAGCAAGAATGGGATAGGCATAGTTTGATAGGAGGGATTTGGTTGAGAATATGGAGCCTATAATCTTTATTGGCTGTATTTTCCCCCCCCCCCCAAAAAAAAAAAAAAAAAAACAAAACCTCACTCTTACGGCCTAAGATTGAACACTGTTTTGATTTAAACAGGCCTACCTGGTCACTGTAGTGACTTCTGATTGCAGGCATTCCTTCAGGAGTTTGAGGCTAAATCCTGTCAGACCTGCTTTGTAAGTGTGGTTGAGCCACAAAGTATTGCAGTCCAGCTCTGGTGGAAAAATGGAAAAATTGCTTAATTTAGGAAAGGTAAGGAGGCCTGACACCTGAAGGGCTATGTTGAGACAGACGTATGGCCGTCCCTGTAATTAGGATAGATCAGTCACGTAAATTACGCTGGCTGAATTTGGCACATTCATCTTACAGTTTCAAAGTTGTTCAGTTTGAAATAGTAATTTGTCATATATGGCAGAGAGCAAGTGACGCCACTGAAAGCTGGCTGATCAGTAAAGTTGCAGGAGAGATTTAAAGCACAACGAGACGGTTTGGCAGTGCTGGCAAAGCAAAACAGCTTTAGATGGAGCTGCTTTAGTGTGGTGCAAGTCATGCCTAGGAGCAGTAAAACAGGGAGGGTAGGCAGGGATGGATGTGTAAGCAGAAGCTTTTGGGTGATAAACCTTCCTTATCGGGTTTAACTTTTTATACCTGCCCCTAAAGCATATGCAATTGGTGGTAGACAATTATAAAGTGGGGTGTGACAGTAGAGACGTGAAAAAAACAAGCAAACAAACAAACAAAAAATTGGCAACTTTCAGGACCTTCAGTATGTTTGACCTTGGAGAGACCTTTTCCCTTAATAAGGCTTGCATTTGGTTATAAACTCCCATAACATTGAAGCTATGGTAGAAAGACAGTGGTAGGATGCATTTCATGTCCCCCGCAAGTACCTGCGAATAATCAGGTTGCAAATGGTTTTGCTTGTGTAGCCACCTGAAAACGTTGCTCGCTTTTCCAAAAGGAAATGCTGCATTCAAACTAATACTTGATGATTTTGGGGGGGGGGGGGGGGGAGGGGGGGCGGAGTGCCT